AAATTTGTTTCAATGTTTACCTTCCTTATAATTTTCCTTTTCATGAACTCTGATAAAGTTTTTTGCTGCTTTCAGAAAATCAGAATTTCAAAATTGTTAAATATTTAGCAGAGTTTTGTGTCCATGTATTCTGGTTTTCCTGTAACCTGGTCTCTACATACCAAAATTTTTGATAAATTAAGTATTGTTTAAAGTCCAAATTATGTCTACCTAATCAAAGCACTTGTGTATCAGGCAGTGTGTCAGAGTGGCAAAATTTCCAATCATTTTAAAAAAGACATGCAATTGATGCCAGTCATTTCAGTAAAAATGTGATTGATGCCAGTCATTTCAGTAAATATACAATCGGTGGGTAAGTATGGTAAGGGACTAACCTGTTACAGTTGATCTCCAACCCTTTACACTGAAATAAAGGGCAAACCTGTCAGCACTTACTGCTACATGGGTCATATTTTTTCTGTCCCTTTGTATATCTTTATATCATTAATGCCAGCAGATAGAATATGTTGCCTTCCTTATTTCTAATCATTACTAATTTATTGTATTAGGTATAGTTGACCATTTTCTATGACAGCACTTAGTGGTCTCTCTCTGACAGCTGTTTTTATTTTATTTTATTTACAGAGAGTCAGATATGTCAGGAATTGAAGAGATTTGCAGTAGTGCAAAGAAGAAAGCAATGGAGAAGTCAAATTCCTTTATTAATCCTTTCGAGTAAGTTGTACCTTGTTATCATATTACAGGTTGTATTACATTAGGTTTGACAAAAGATTTACAGACTAAAACTATAATATTATAATATGCAAAATTAAGTGTTTTCTTTGTTCTTGACAGTCTTACAATTGAGGAAGATGAAATGTGCTTGCTTGAAGATAATTCATCTGATTCTGATGAAGAATATCAGCCCAGTTTCAACTTAACACTCAGGTAACAGATATATCTAGCTAATATCTGTTAGGAAAAAAATATAATTCGTAAACAAATACATAAACATTCTGGAAAGCCTTTTGAATTTTATTCATATTAATTGTACAGATGTTTCATCTTAAACATCTGTGTATATTGATATTACAGACCCAGTAATGCAGACCATATTCCTATAGAGGACTCGGATGATGATTCTGACATATGTGGGGATGACCCTGCTGATGCTGTAGAAACGGACTACAAGAGAATAAATAGTATTGAGGACATAGAAACTTTAACTAATGACTGCCCTCTCCTTGTATACCAACAGCCCTTGTTAGATTTGGCCAACACACAGATCAGTACCATCTGCAAAATTTGTAATGAATCCATCAGTATTTGTGTGGATAATATTGGTTCCGCAACATATCTTAAATGGGTAAGAGTCATTCTGAACATATTTTATGAGAGAGAAAATATCTATATGTTTATCAGTTTAACTGTATTGATAAAGATCTTTGCAGATATGTACAAGCATCTGTTAGGGAAATGTTATGACATCTGTATTTTATCTAAGAAGGACTATTCTTTTAGTTAGATCATTTAAATGATTTTTTGGGAAATTAAATATTAGGCCACACCAATAAAATTTGTTGTTCATCGGACCTGAACAAAACTATACAAATAATATTAATTTAAAATTCCCACACCATTGGAATTCCATGCTATTTTCTGTTATATTTCTGCTCTATTTATTTGTACTTTTAATCTGCTTACTCCAAAAATCAGAAATATAATTGTCCGCTAATTTTTTTTCACGCCCCGCCTAAAAATTTTGCCAACCAAAAAGTAATATTATTATTATTATTTAACGGCTAGTCCATTCATTATTTTTTCATAAAATGTCTGACGAACAAGAAATTAAATTGGCGTGGCCTTACTTACCTAGTAACTTTACTGTGTTAAAAGTTTGTCTTTCATGAATTTTGAATATATATAAAGCCTTCTTTTTTTAAATATTTAATCAAATACATATTTGATTATTGTAGGTCTGCAAAAGAGGTCATGTTGTGAATAGATGGTGTTCACAGCCAATTCTAAATAGAAGACTGCATGCTGGAGACCTGGTCTTTGCATCGGCCATCCTATTGTCTGGCAACAACTTCCAGAAAATTGCAACACTGGCAAAATTCTTGAAACTTCCTATTCTAAGCTCTTCAACTTTTCACAGAATTCAGAAAACTTACCTAGTCCCAGCGATTGACAGGTTTTGGATTCAGAAACAAGAAGATACTCTTAGAGAATTCCAAAATACCGATGTCATTGTGTTAGGTAAATAATTAAACCAATTCAAACTGGATACATAAGAATAAATTTAAAAATGAAGAGTTCTATATGGAATAAATGATAATAATAGTATACATGCATCATTCAACTTGAATTTTTTGAAGCAGTTCCTGATAGTTTCTCAAAGGACCAATTTTTCTTTTAATTGGATAAAATGGATGTAATAATGTGAAACAAACCCTTTTGGATAAACAATTTTAGTTCTTGATATACATGTTTGGTGTAGAGTCAGGTTTCTCAGATCCAACGGACATATTTTAGTTTATTTAAATGTGCATGACCTCAACTCTATGACAGTTGAATCTGGACTGAACAACACTATTTGCTATTTACAAATATGAACTTAAATTTAATTTAATTTGTTTATTTAATTTTTTTTCATTAATTCTGCACAGTTTCATTTTCTAGGTGATGGACGTATGGACAGTCCTGGGCACAGTGCACAATACTGTTCATACACTTTTATGGAATATACATCCAAGAAAATTTTATGCATCACCACAATGGACAAACGATCCACTGACCGGAAAAGCACCAACCTGGAGAAAGCTTGCTTCCAGCGTGGGATGCAGTTTTTTAAAGACAAAGGCATCAAAGTTGTTGAGGTGGTGACCGATGCACATGTCCAAATAGCTTCAGTGATGAGTAAGTTCTAATGATCATAATCATAAAAATCTCTGACATTGAGACTCAGACCTATAAGTTAAAGATTAATTATTCTATTTCAAGGATTTTTACTCCTCATATTTTGTGTAATTACATTTATATATTTTATTGAAATTTATTGTCTGAATGATTAAAGTGCTCTTTTCCTTTCTTCGCTCAGATTTCTTGTTTACCAATCACATATACATGTACTTTATTTTGATTATAAGAAAAGGATTTCCCAGAAATAAAGCACTCGTTTGATGTCTGGCATGGGACAAAGAACTTGGGAAAGAAACTCACAAAGGTATAGGCATTTTTTAAATTGTTGATGTTTAATGAAATCTATGACATTACCTGCTGTTTGATACACAGTTTAACCCCCCCCCCCCCCCCAATTTTGAAATGTCTTTTAGAAAATAAAAAACATAACACAAAAAACTGGTGTGTTTCTTCTTTGAATTTAATGATAAACTTTGTGAAAGCAGGGTTTTTACATGTACTTTAAATAAAAATTTTTACAGCCTTGTTACTGCTCATTGTTAAAGGCTCTCTCACCCTGAGATAGGTACATGACTTTCATAATTGTCTCAGATGGAAAGTTGTCTTATTTGAAATTAAGATATTTTGTTATTATTTATAGTTTCTATTGCAGATCAGTCAATTAAAGGCATATTATCTAGGGAAATACCTTTTTTTTTGGTATCGTTTTGAATGTTGTGAAATCCAAAGTTTATGATAATATTAAAAGGAATATTTTTCATACTTATCGATTTTTAACTGTTATTCGTACTCTACACAAGTGAAATGTTGTTTCCTTGAATTATTGTGCAGGATGACAAAAATTCGATTTAGTCCTGCGTCTATTCATATGACCCCAAGTTTGAACTCATTCGGAAAGCTTTTCGCGCATGCTCAACCCGGTAAATTAAAACAAACATGTCGGAAAACAGCACCTCTAACCGAGGAAGAAAGCGCTGTTTAACTGATTCTGCAAGAAAAAGAAATAGAGCAAGTGTATCAGCCAAATGGAACAAAAGCAGGGTATATATAGGTAACCAGTTTGAACGCTGGAATGAATTGAAAGCCATGTTGAATGTGGATACACATGCCGAAGTAGCCAGGATTTTGCTGAACAAGTAAGTCTCAGACATGTGTTTTCCTCAATGTTTGTTTGTCTTTCATTCACACGATTGTTTTAACAAAAGTGATACATATATAGAAACAAATCACAAGATATATATTCAAGAATATAGCCGATAAAAAGAAGAAAACTACTTTAAAAAATAGCTTTACAATATGCACTACGATAAACCAGATATGAGGCCTCCTAAGGGGAAATCGTAATGAAAATATAGAAACCCTTGTTTGCGAGTCATATATATGTATATTTTTAATATTATAAGTTAAAATAATGAAAACATGACAGAAATAGTATTAACCTAGATTATAAACCTGTTCAAAGATGTCCAAAGGTTTAAAATCGTTTAACAAAAATAAAAATCTTCAGTACAATATTGTGTGCAGTGTCACTGTGTGTATTTCGTATTGTGTGTGTGATAATGTGGAGTTGAGGTGTTTACAACTACAGGCCATGCAGGCGCAGCACATACAGTAAAGTTTTATATTAAACAGGTCTGGTACAATCATTAGATTTTGCTACGTAGCTTGATTTACCTACATTACCTTTCGTGATATTACCATATTACTGCTTGTAACTCTTTGAAGCCAGTAATATTAGTTGATTTGAGGGAGGTTTATCAAATATCTACCGGATAAATTTTAATTTATAGGAAAATTTTAAAAGTACAGCCTGGCATTTATACATGAAAATTTTTTTGCCCATGACAAAATTTTTGCACCTCGGGCGCTCGGGAGCATGGTTATTTCAAACACTGTTCTATAATTTCTCTGAACTTTTTTTATTTACAAGTTCTCTTCAGACTGTACAGGGCTCTATATTAGCTTTCTTTGCCACTTGTCCAACTGGACAAATGTCAGACCAAGACATTTACTGGTCCAAATTTTAACTTGTAATTTTTTTTTTAAATTGTACTGGACAAGTGGACAAATGTTAATGTTGAGTCCTGCTGTGTGGACGTGTTACCAAGGAGAATCTCTACATTGCATATCATTTTTTTCTTTTACAGTTATCATGTAAATAATACAGAAAGAAAATTGCATGCTGTAACATCAACACCTGGACCACTACGTGTACCTTCTCTTTTCCCCACTTCATGTGATGTGTCCGACATATCATCAGCTGGAGAAAATCTTAGGTAATTTTGAATTTCTTGCAATGTATTTATATCCTTTATTTAGTGTTTAATAATGCTGAGGAATCTTGAATAATATTTGGCCATCATTAAAAATATCGGAATACATCAAAAAATTTGTTTCAATGTTTACCTTCCTTATAATTTTCCTTTTCATGAACTCTGATAAAGTTTTTTGCTGCTTTCAGAAAATCAGAATTTCAAAATTGTTAAATATTTAGCAGAGTTTTGTGTCCATGTATTCTGGTTTTCCTGTAACCTGGTCTCTACATACCAAAATTTTTGATAAATTAAGTATTGTTTAAAGTCCAAATTATGTCTACCTAATCAAAGCACTTGTGTATCAGGCAGTGTGTCAGAGTGGCAAAATTTCCAATCATTTTAAAAAAGACATGCAATTGATGCCAGTCATTTCAGTAAAAATGTGATTGATGCCAGTCATTTCAGTAAATATACAATCGGTGGGTAAGTATGGTAAGGGACTAACCTGTTACAGTTGATCTCCAACCCTTTACACTGAAATAAAGGGCAAACCTGTCAGCACTTACTGCTACATGGGTCATATTTTTTCTGTCCCTTTGTATATCTTTATATCATTAATGCCAGCAGATAGAATATGTTGCCTTCCTTATTTCTAATCATTACTAATTTATTGTATTAGGTATAGTTGACCATTTTCTATGACAGCACTTAGTGGTCTCTCTCTGACAGCTGTTTTTATTTTATTTTATTTACAGAGAGTCAGATATGTCAGGAATTGAAGAGATTTGCAGTAGTGCAAAGAAGAAAGCAATGGAGAAGTCAAATTCCTTTATTAATCCTTTCGAGTAAGTTGTACCTTGTTATCATATTACAGGTTGTATTACATTAGGTTTGACAAAAGATTTACAGACTAAAACTATAATATTATAATATGCAAAATTAAGTGTTTTCTTTGTTCTTGACAGTCTTACAATTGAGGAAGATGAAATGTGCTTGCTTGAAGATAATTCATCTGATTCTGATGAAGAATATCAGCCCAGTTTCAACTTAACACTCAGGTAACAGATATATCTAGCTAATATCTGTTAGGAAAAAAATATAATTCGTAAACAAATACATAAACATTCTGGAAAGCCTTTTGAATTTTATTCATATTAATTGTACAGATGTTTCATCTTAAACATCTGTGTATATTGATATTACAGACCCAGTAATGCAGACCATATTCCTATAGAGGACTCGGATGATGATTCTGACATATGTGGGGATGACCCTGCTGATGCTGTAGAAACGGACTACAAGAGAATAAATAGTATTGAGGACATAGAAACTTTAACTAATGACTGCCCTCTCCTTGTATACCAACAGCCCTTGTTAGATTTGGCCAACACACAGATCAGTACCATCTGCAAAATTTGTAATGAATCCATCAGTATTTGTGTGGATAATATTGGTTCCGCAACATATCTTAAATGGGTAAGAGTCATTCTGAACATATTTTATGAGAGAGAAAATATCTATATGTTTATCAGTTTAACTGTATTGATAAAGATCTTTGCAGATATGTACAAGCATCTGTTAGGGAAATGTTATGACATCTGTATTTTATCTAAGAAGGACTATTCTTTTAGTTAGATCATTTAAATGATTTTTTGGGAAATTAAATATTAGGCCACACCAATAAAATTTGTTGTTCATCGGACCTGAACAAAACTATACAAATAATATTAATTTAAAATTCCCACACCATTGGAATTCCATGCTATTTTCTGTTATATTTCTGCTCTATTTATTTGTACTTTTAATCTGCTTACTCCAAAAATCAGAAATATAATTGTCCGCTAATTTTTTTTCACGCCCCGCCTAAAAATTTTGCCAACCAAAAAGTAATATTATTATTATTATTTAACGGCTAGTCCATTCATTATTTTTTCATAAAATGTCTGACGAACAAGAAATTAAATTGGCGTGGCCTTACTTACCTAGTAACTTTACTGTGTTAAAAGTTTGTCTTTCATGAATTTTGAATATATATAAAGCCTTCTTTTTTTAAATATTTAATCAAATACATATTTGATTATTGTAGGTCTGCAAAAGAGGTCATGTTGTGAATAGATGGTGTTCACAGCCAATTCTAAATAGAAGACTGCATGCTGGAGACCTGGTCTTTGCATCGGCCATCCTATTGTCTGGCAACAACTTCCAGAAAATTGCAACACTGGCAAAATTCTTGAAACTTCCTATTCTAAGCTCTTCAACTTTTCACAGAATTCAGAAAACTTACCTAGTCCCAGCGATTGACAGGTTTTGGATTCAGAAACAAGAAGATACTCTTAGAGAATTCCAAAATACCGATGTCATTGTGTTAGGTAAATAATTAAACCAATTCAAACTGGATACATAAGAATAAATTTAAAAATGAAGAGTTCTATATGGAATAAATGATAATAATAGTATACATGCATCATTCAACTTGAATTTTTTGAAGCAGTTCCTGATAGTTTCTCAAAGGGCCAATCTTTCTTTTAATTGGATAAAATGGATGTAATAATGTGAAACAAACCCTTTTGGATAAACAATTTTAGTTCTTGATATACATGTTTGGTGTAGAGTCAGGTTTCTCAGATCCAACGGACATATTTTAGTTTATTTAAATGTGCATGACCTCAACTCTATGACAGTTGAATCTGGACTGAACAACACTATTTGCTATTTACAAATATGAACTTAAATTTAATTTAATTTGTTTATTTAATTTTTTTTCATTAATTCTGCACAGTTTCATTTTCTAGGTGATGGACGTATGGACAGTCCTGGGCACAGTGCACAATACTGTTCATACACTTTTATGGAATATACATCCAAGAAAATTTTATGCATCACCACAATGGACAAACGATCCACTGACCGGAAAAGCACCAACCTGGAGAAAGCTTGCTTCCAGCGTGGGATGCAGTTTTTTAAAGACAAAGGCATCAAAGTTGTTGAGGTGGTGACCGATGCACATGTCCAAATAGCTTCAGTGATGAGTAAGTTCTAATGATCATAATCATAAAAATCTCTGACATTGAGACTCAGACCTATAAGTTAAAGATTAATTATTCTATTTCAAGGATTTTTACTCCTCATATTTTGTGTAATTACATTTATATATTTTATTGAAATTTATTGTCTGAATGATTAAAGTGCTCTTTTCCTTTCTTCGCTCAGATTTCTTGTTTACCAATCACATATACATGTACTTTATTTTGATTATAAGAAAAGGATTTCCCAGAAATAAAGCACTCGTTTGATGTCTGGCATGGGACAAAGAACTTGGGAAAGAAACTCACAAAGGTATAGGCATTTTTTAAATTGTTGATGTTTAATGAAATCTATGACATTACCTGCTGTTTGATACACAGTTTAAACCCCCCCCCCCCCCCAATTTTGAAATGTCTTTTAGAAAATAAAAAACATAACACAAAAAACTGGTGTGTTTCTTCTTTGAATTTAATGATAAACTTTGTGAAAGCAGGGTTTTTACATGTACTTTAAATAAAAATTTTTACAGCCTTGTTACTGCTCATTGTTAAAGGCTCTCTCACCCTGAGATAGGTACATGACTTTCATAATTGTCTCAGATGGAAAGTTGTCTTATTTGAAATTAAGATATTTTGTTATTATTTATAGTTTCTATTGCAGATCAGTCAAGAAAAAGGAAACAAAGAATTGGGTGGATGGGTCAAGGATGTGGTAAATCATTACTGGCACTGTGCAGAAGTTTCTAGCACTTCTGAAGAGTTCCTTGTAAGTTTTATTTTGCCAAAATTTCAATTTATTTTGTAAATTACTTCTCATCAAATTGCTTTGGTTGTAGGAGAAGTTTAAATTCATCCTACAGATACAAAGCTATTCCTTCAGTATTTATTGTTTCTGTTATGAATTTTGCATCGAGTCACTACAAAGAAATCGAGTGATCATTACATTCATTGTAGGTTAATTCTTATAATTGTATTTTAAGGATGTTTGGTATGGTGTGCTCCATCATGTTGTAAATGAACATGATTGGTTTGTACCTTTTGCAAACTCAACAGTAAGCACATGCCAACACAGCCCTTTAGAAGATGGTAGTCAGACAAAGGAGTACCTGAAGAAAGGATCGACAGCCCATAATGCACTTAGACAAATTGTAATGGATAAACGACTGGTGAAAAACATTCCATACTACCTAAACTGCAGGTATGTAATTTATTGAAGGATAAAATCTTTCCCCCTAAATAAATTGACCAACCTCATATATTTTAATGATCCTTAGGTGGATAAGTCGAGGTTTTAATATTTCGAAAGAATAATTCATTGTATATTTTTGGTCTATACAAGGTACATTTAATGTTTTAAACACAATTTTTAAAATTAACAATGTGCTATAGTGACCATTGAGATCTCTCCACCAAGACCAAAGTTGTAAATGCTAACCTAAAACTTTCAACATTATCAAAGCAAGCTACATTCTCTTTCACAATCATATTGTCATTTTAGGAGCACCTCAGAACTGGAAAATTTTCAGAATCT